CTACACTGGTTGGAACTACTGTTCCTGCAGGTCCTACCATGCCAGGAAGGTTTTTTAGCATAGCGATTAGACTAAAAGCAGTTACCATCGGCATAGTGTAAGAATTTATTTTTTAAACATTATGCTGGGGGTCTGCGGGCGAAGTCGTACTGCTGGGGAACAGGGTTGTGTAACAGGCACTGAATTGTTTCCCTCATATGACCAAAATGCCAGCCAGCCGTCTATGCTGTCTCTCCACTCTGTTGAAGAGTGGGGGTTAGAAAAGGTTGACCCCAGCAACTGTGCATCCCGATACACCCCACGGTGATTTGTAACCGGCGGTAAGTTTACTAATACGGAACCAAACCAAGAAACCAGTTCATACAGGCAGTGTGTGTGTGATCGGCATTAAGCAGTTGTCCCCTGGGCTCTGCGGTCATGCAACACTAACCCTCTTTCTGAATCAATCAACTTCCTCGGTGTAGTCAACCGGGAAGTAACAACCGCCCACACACTTCCAAGAGCCCACAAGGACTTCCTGAGCATCATTCTCCTTTACCCATATCACCTGAATGCTGTATTTGTGAGATATATATTCAATGCAAGTGTAGTCACTTGCTTAACCTCATGTTATCGTCGTAGTGAGATGATATATATATGTCTCTCTGTCTGTCTGGATTCAACATAGAACTTCACACCGAAGTGCAACAGTTCCAGTTGCCACGTTCCAAATAGCACACAAAGGTAGACAAGAAGATGAGTGGAGAAAATCAATAGAGTTTGACAAGTATAAGAGTGAAACAGAACGGATAACGGTAGAAAGAAATATGAAAGATTACAGAGACTGAATACATCTGAGCTGGCCATTGACAACGATTTTGAGCCATGTGTCACCTATTGTCTCCAGCCATTGATTCCTTGAGTCCTGAGGCGAGGGCCCCAACCCGGAAGTCTGCATCTCCCTACCTGACCGACTCAGTTTAACTGTCAAGGATTTCATGGATTGATGAGGCCATGTTTTTGTTTGGCCACCACTTACTCCTTTCCAACCTGCACGCACCTATATCAGCTAGCAATGCCCATCGGGGGAGGCGGTGGTTAGGCATGCGCACCACGTGACCTAGCCATCTCAATCTATGTAACTTTATAGCCTCGTCGATTGATTTTCCTTGTTTACCCAACACTCTACGCCTAACGTCAACATTACTTACCTTATTAGACCACCTAACGTGAGACAGAGATCGCAGACATCTATGATCGAAAACAGCCAACCTTTTCATGTCTTCAACTCGTATTGGCCATGTTTCAGAGCAGAGCCATAGAGAAGGACGGAGCGAACTGGTGAGCAGTACACACGTCCCTTGGTTGATAGCCGGATGTCACGCCTACGCCAGAGATGGTGTAAGTTGGCGAAAACAGCTGGAGCTTTTTGGATCCGTGCTGAGATTTCGTCGCCAATCAATCCGTTGGTGTTGATACAACTTCCCAAATAGGTGAAGTGGTCAACATGTTCTATCACTTCACTCCCTATCACTAAGCTGTGAGTTGACGTAGTCCAGTCCTGTAGCAGCATCTTACATTTTGTAGGGGCGAATCGCATGCCAAACATACGAAGATTGCTTCTCAAGGTGTTCAGAAGACTGTGCCTCATTTTGTCAGCATCCTCCCCTAACAGGACTATGTCATCTGCATATTCTAAGTCCATAAGACTATTCCCTGGTAACAAGTCAATTCCTAAGTCGTTAAGTTCAGTTAAGGATACTTCCATTAGCATATTTATGATGAAGTTAAACAGAAATGGGGAAAGTGGACATCCCTGTCGGACACCACTGGGTGTTATCAATTCAGATGACAATTCTACATACTTCAGGCGTTAGTCATGTAAAAGCCAAATTATGTTAGCACTGAGGGTATAATTAAATATTTACTTCTGGGATGTAAAGTGCACTGCTTGATCTGAGTTAACACTGTAGAATAAAAATAATAAGAATTAAAGAGGAATTATGTTAATCACCGTTATCGTGTTATTGTCGGTGTGTACACACTTAGTGATGTATAGGCCAGAAAATACAAAAGGTGAACCAAACATTCAGAAGGATTGTAATGCATAAGAAAGGAAAGTTTTTAGGTGGCATCTTTAGACTTCTAGTCTATTCAGCGCATATTGGTGGAGGTGGGTAAGCGGGAAGATTACTTTGTGCAAATTGTGTTTGGCTAGTTATCTATTCCTAAACACCACACCTGTTTGAGATGGTAAAGGAAAACGTTATCTGATACCGGTGATCATCAGCCTCAACTCCTTGGTAAATTTAAAACATATCGTTATAAGTTGGAAGATGTTATCATGAGCTGGCATCGGTTAGAGAACTATTGGAGAACCAGCAGGGATTAATGGACAGCTATTTCATCGCCATCCTAGTTTGGGACTCTTCAGCAGTACACACCCATCTTTTGAGGTTCGAGTCTAGGATTTTCTGGTTACAAGGCGAGCTAGATGCTAGACCATTAACCCACTGAGACCCAATCTAATGACCAGTCCATAAATTCTAATTTCTGCCAATTCTCAACATAGCACGATCACTTAGCAGTGTCTTTTTTAATGAGTAACTGTCCTCACCTTCGACCTGCTGTAACCTACTGGTCACGACTTCCTATTAGAACTCCAGGTAACTAACTGCGTGAATGGGGCTAGTCACTGGTGAACATCACATCAATTTTTCAATTATTGGTCTGTAGAGATTTTTGTTTAATTGGTTGGAGAGTATTTCATCATGAGCTGAAATCGGTTGGTTAGAGAACCATTGGAAAACCAGCAGTGGAGTGTACTGGACAGCTGTTTCGTCCTAGTTTGGGACTCTTCAGCAGTACACACCCATCTTTTGAGGTTCGAGTCTAGGATTTTCTGGTTACAAGGCGAGCTAGATGCTAGACCATTAACCCACTGAGACCCAATCTAATGACCAGTCCATAAATTCTAATTTCTGCCAATTCTCAACATAGCACGATCACTTAGCAGTGTCTTTTTCAATGAGTAACTGTCCTCACCTTCGACCTGCTGTAACCTACTGGTCACGACTTCCTATTAGAACTCCAGGTAACTAACTGCGTGAATGGGGCTAGTCACTGGTGAACATCACATCAATTTTTCAATTATTGGTCTGTAGAGATTTTTGTTTAATTGGTTGGAGAGTATTTCATCATGAGCTGAAATCGGTTGGTTAGAGAACCATTGGAAAACCAGCAGTGGAGTGTACTGGACAGCTGTTTCGTCCTAGTTTGGGACTCTTCAGCAGTACACACCCATCTTTTGAGGTTCGAGTCTAGGATTTTCTGGTTACAAGGCGAGCTAGATGCTAGACCATTAACCCACTGAGACCCAATCTAATGACCAGTCCATAAATTCTAATTTCTGCCAATTCTCAACATAGCACGATCACTTAGCAGTGTCTTTTTCAATGAGTAACTGTCCTCACCTTCGACCTGCTGTAACCTACTGGTCACGACTTCCTATTAGAACTCCAGGTAACTAACTGCGTGAATGGGGCTAGTCACTGGTGAACATCACATCAATTTTTCAATTATTGGTCTGTAGAGATTTTTGTTTAATTGGTTGGAGAGTATTTCATCATGAGCTGAAATCGGTTGGTTAGAGAACCATTGGAAAACCAGCAGTGGAGTGTACTGGACAGCTGTTTCGTCCTAGTTTGAGACTCTACACCGGGGTTCAAACTCAATGGTTCTCTAACCGATGTCAGCTCATGATGAAGTCCTCTCCAACCGATCAAAGAAAAATCCATACAAACCAATATTTGATAAATATTGTTATTATTTCAGGACTGTTGCTTGTTTCTCATTACGTCGTGTTCGGTTAAAGACCATATTCTCGCCTACACTTGTCCTTTTTTTTCTTGATCGATACATATTACAAATGATAAAAGACGTCTCAGACCTCAGGAGACCATTAAAACAACGTCTAAATGGGGCTACCATCTATTCATTACAGTAATATTCTTGTCATACACTGATATATCCTAAGTTACAAACCATAGACAATTCCCTAGTGTTCTGTCTTTGGATGGAGGTTCAATTAACATAAGTTGTTAGTTACTATATACGTAAAAGATCAAGAGTAACTGTTCCTCCTCCATATATGCTACTTCTGATTACATAAAAAAGTAGTATGTAATGAGGGGAGGGGTACATATTGATTATGTCCTAGATGATCTATCTGTCTGTCTGTTTTCGACATAGAACTTTGCACATATGTACGCCAGTTCAGGTCGCCACACTCCCTCCTTGTAGCACACAAAGCAAGGGAAGAAAGTAGAAGAAAAGCATAATAGAGACAGTAAGCAGAGGTGTGAGACAAAGGAATAGTAATAACGAAGAACAAAACAGTTTCATTGGAAATCATAAGTCACAAGGAGTGGATGCATCTGCGCCAGTCATTGAGAACGATTTTGAGCCATGTCACCAATTGTTTCCAACCATTGATTTTTACCGTCCCGAGGACTCCAACCAGGAAGCCAGTCTACACCTTCCTACGTGTCTGGTTTAGACTAACTGCTGTAGATTTCATTGACTGGTTTGGCCATGTTTTTGTTTGACCGCTGCTAGCTTTTTTCCAGCCTGACCCTTTGTCAGCTAACATTGCCCGTCGAGGAAGGCGATGACTAGGCATACGTAACACATGTCCTAACCATCTCAGTCGATATAACTTCACAGCCTCATCGATTGATTTCCCCTGTTTATCTAGAACTCGACTGAGGCCTAACCTCAATATTGCTCACCTTATTATACCACTTCACACGGGAGATAGAACGCAGGCACTTATGATCAAAGACAGCTAATCTTTTCATGTCTTCCACTCTCAATGGTCAGGTCTCACAGCCATAAAGATGATATACCATTATGCCTCTACATTTGCATTATTCATTCGGTATCCTTTATTTATTTAGAAGATGATGTTCAACCCTTTTTGATATTCTTTACTTTATTTATTTTATTTTTAATTTTTTTAGAGCTAAACGCATTTTAGGCGTTACTGGAGAATCTCTACACGAAAAACTTCTTCAGACTAACTCGAATGCCTCTAGACGTATTGATAATGATGAACAGGGCGTGGAACAATCATCTGCTGTTGTCAATAAAGAAAATCATGAGAAAATATCACTTCAGGATATTATACACTTTCCTGGTGGTATTTGGCTTATTTGTATAATTTGTGTAGCTTATTATGTTACAGTATTCCCGTTTGTCAGTCTTGGTCTGGTATTTTTTGAAAGTAAGTTAGTTGTTCGTATGTGTGTGTGTGTGTACGTGTGTGTATGCGTAACTATTAATTAAACCTCTGAACAAAATTATTATGCATATTGTAAACTCGTAATCTGTTAAATGTCACAGTGTCACAGCTCTCTCTTGGAAGCATCATTTCAACCTGCAGGCAGTCGGAACGGATAAATATATTAAAATTTAGAATTGGAAAGTCGAGATACGCCTTCATCAGCATAAAAACCAGTTTGGAAATATTCAGCACTCCATCTCAGCATAAGCAACAACATTTGGATTCTATTCAACAAAACACCCCAATGTGAGGTTGATCTTTCTCTGCGGGCTAGAAACTTGCACTGCGTGTAGGTCACGAAAAGGATTTCCAACAGCTTGTTCCAGACTTTCATCAACATCTGCACCCTTCGCTGGTGTTCCATACTGAATGGTCATATTGCCAGAAAGAATTAGTCGCAAGAAACTCTGGCGATGAATAGACCAACCAAGAACTGATCGCCCAACTAATAAATATGTAGGAGAAAATGGATATGAGTCGGGGGCACTCTGACTGAGAGGAGGCCGTTGAATAACATCGCACCCCCTATGCAGACCATCACTCGAGTGGAATCCAAATGGGAAGCGACGAGTGGGAAGTCAGTGCGAGGGTGACATGGAGGAAATTGCGTGTTGTGGAAGAGGAGGAGGAGGAGGAGGTGAGAGAGTTTGGCGCAATTGTCGACCCAGCTGAAGAGGGCAGCAGAAGATAGGACAAAGTGGAGATGTGTTATTGAAACCCTATGTTCCACTTGGTTGATCCAAGCGATGCTGGGGACATCACTCGTACCCAATTCCCATGAAACTTCATCAACTCTCCTATACAAACATTCGAGATGTTCATGAAGCCGGTTCATCCTCCCGTAGGAGATAGCCGAAGTAAAGTAAAGTAAGTAAGACTCATAATATAAGCTCTAATTTGCCACCTATTGTGTGTGTGTGTATGGTACAAAAGTTAATAATATTCTTTTGGAATTTCATCTTGAAGTGGCATTGGTTTCGTCAGCCTAGTTTATGACTCTTCATCAGTACCCACCCACCCAATGAGGTTCGAACCTATGACCTTCTGGTTACAAGACGAGCTCGTAGGTCATGATAAGATACTGTGACCAGTCAAATCAAATCGCTGCAAACCAACACTTGAGAGTATCAATCTGGTGCTTACTAGCGGCGACTAGTCATATTCAGGTAGGTATTCACCTGGGTTCTAGTTGGGATTCGTCACCAGTGGGGTACAGCAGTTCGGGTATGATGACAAATACTCGCCAGCGATGTCAATGGTTAGTTGTCGTGCCATATCGTGAATTGACAGAAGTTAGAATTCATGGACTGGCCATCGGATGGGGTCTCAGTGGCTCAACGGTCTGCGAAACTAGCTCGCCTTGTAACCAGAGGGTCTTAGGCTCGAATCTCAGTGGGTGGGTGCGTACTCATGAAGTGTCTTAAACTAGGCTGACGAAACAGCTGTCTAGTGCTCTACTGCTGGTTTTCCAATGAACCTCTAACCGATGTCAATTCATGATGAAATCCTTTAGTCAATCAAATCAAATCCCTGCAAACCAATACATGAATACTCTTCTGCATTTTTTCCAACTTCTATTGGTAAAGTGAACTTCAGGTAACTGAGTCTACATAATACTACTGATTGTGACATATGAGTAGTGTCATACCATCTACATGAATCAGTAGTGCTTTGCTAACCTAACCAGCCATGTCATCGAAGTTGTCTGGATACTGGACAGTCGTTTCACTCGTTCACAGATGAACTCATCAGCAATGTGTACTCATTTTGATATGAATAATTTCTGTTACCAAAGACAACCGTGATGAAATTTCACCTCAAATTGTGAATTCCCAATGGTTTCCCCTCAGTGGCTGAATTATCTATGAACTCACCCTTAGTTCAAACTCCGACGATAGCGTGCCTCTGAAGAGTCTCAAACTAGGACGAAACAACCCTCCAGTAGTCCAATATATATATAATACGGTCTCAGTAGATTTAGCAGCACATCTCCATGGTACTTTATTCTCTACCGTCGTTTCCAATTGGTTGCACAACTGTCTACAATGTTTCACTTCCTCCTCGTATGATCTCCATGTCATCCTCGGATGATCAACCAGTGTATGTCCAGTCCATGTCCATTTCCTTCGTCATATTTACTGACTGGTAGATTGCTGACTGGGTTCACTGCCAACCAGTGCTGTTCTTTCCTTGTTTATCCTTCTTGGCTGGTTATTATGAGTTTCAGTAAGAAGCGAAGAGGACAACTATTGATGGAGGCCTGCAATACCTGTTTGAAATGCCTTTTATGTGGGGCACAGTGAGTCTCTGAAGTATATAAAAGCCCTGAATGATTCCATATATATATATATATATATATATCGGTCTTCCTCTCAAAACCTTCTCATGTGACCAAGCGTTCCCATCTATTGCCTTCAAGAGGCTAGAATGTCATTCACTAAACTGATAGGGTCAGTGTGCATGTCTGACGCTTACAACCGGACTGGTAAACATACTGATCTACACAGGAAAGCTGAAAAAACCCTGATTTCAAACATATGATGGACATGTACCCCATACACGGGATACATCTATGGTGTGTGTGAACTTGTTTTGGTCACCGAAAACCATGGGAATTTAGCTCCTGACACCACTCCTTGTGGGTTGTAAATCAGATTTCATGTCAAAAACTTGGGGTGGGGTTGGGGGATAGCCCCTTAAAACGACAACTACCTGCTTCGATCTGGGCGTTCAGGGAGAGTACACAAACCATGACATTTTGTGTGATATATCTTTCAGTGCCCATAATGCACGAACTTTGTGTTTTAATAAGAATGTAATACAAAAACAAAAACAGCGTGTTAGATGGTAGGTTTGGTAAGGAGTTAATACAATATATGAGGGAAATGAACAAATAAATATAAATAGTTATGACCTACTAAACCAATCATATTCTCATAGTTATATAACGTGAAGTATCCACTGTCTAAAGTGAATTTCGTAGTTGTTATTGTCTGCTGTAATTCATATTTTTTTATAGTTTGGTTTGTAAGCATTAGTTATGTTTTTACGAGTTGATCACGGATTGATATCATCAGTTAGAGAACCATTGAAAACCAGCACTGGGAGTACTGCCAGACAGCCAACTGTTTCATCCTAGTTTGAGAATCATCGGCAGTACGCCGTAATCAACTCGTAAAAACATAACTAACCCTTACAAACCAAACTATAGAAAATTAATCTGATGCTCGCTAGTGACTTGCTACAGAATAGAGTTTCCTGGAGTAAGTTCTAGTGAGAAGTCATGACCAGTGAGAGGTCCATCCAGATGTCACGTGTGAGAATGGATGTCTCACCGACGATATTGGTTGGTGCTCGCGCTAATTCAAGAATTGGTAGAAGTTAGAATTTATGCCTTCGACTCCGTGGATCGAAAGGTACTATGGCAATGTCTGACTGTGAAGGGAGTGCCAAGAAAGTACATTGCACTAATCAAGGCACTCTATTCAAACTCACGTAGTCGTGTAAGGGTTTATGGGGAATTGTCATCTGAATTGGTAACAACCAGTGGTGTCCGACAGGGATGTCCACTTTCCCCATTTCTGTTTAACTTCACCATAGATATCCTGATGGAAGTATCCTTAACTGAATTTAACGACTTAGGAATCGACTTGTTACCACGGTATAGTCTTATGGACTTGGAATACGCAGATGATATAGTTCAGTTAGGGGAGGATGCTGACAAAATGAGGCAGAGTTTTCTGAACACCTTGAGAAGCAATCTTCGTATGTTCGGCATGCGATTCGCCCCTGCAAACTGTAAGATGCTGCTACAGGACTGGACTACGTCAACTCACAGCTTAGTGATAGGGAGTGAAGTGATAGAACATGTTGACCACTTCACCTATTTGGGAAGTTGTATCAGCACCAACGGACTGATTGGCGACGAAATCTCAGCACGGATCCAAAAAGCTCCAGCTGTTTTCGCCAACTTACACCATCTCTGGCGTAGGCGTGACATCCGGCTATCAACCAAGGGACGTGTGTACTGCTCACCAGTTCGCTCCGTCCTTCTCTATGGCTCTGCTCTGAAACATGGCCAATACGAGTTGAAGACATGAAAAGGTTGACTGTTTTTGATCATAGATGTCTGCGATCTCTGTCTCACGTTAGGTGGTTTCACAAGATAAGTAATGTTGACGTTAGGCGTAGAGTGTTGGGTAAAGAGGGAAAATCAATCGACGAGGCTACAAAGTTACATAGATTGAGATGGCTAGGTCACGTGGTGCGCATGCTTAATCATCGCCTCCCCCGACGACGGCCATTACTAGCTGATATAGGTGGAGGTTGGAAAAGAGTAAGTGGTGGCCAAACAAAAGCATGACCTCATCAATCCATGAAATCCTTGACAGTTAAACTGAGTCGGTCAGGTAGGGAGATGCAGACTTCCGGGTTAGGGCCCTCGCCTCGGGACTCTAGGAATCAATGGCTGGAGACAATAGGTGACACATGGCTCAAAATCGTTGTCAATGGCCAGCGCAGATGTATTCAGTCTCTGTAATCTTTCATATTCGTTTCTACCATTACCCATTCTGTTTCACTCTTGTACTTATCAAACTCTATTGATTCTCTTCACTCATCTTCTTGTCTACCTTTGTGTGCTATTTGGAACGTGGCAACTGGAACTGTTGCAGTTCGGTGTGAAGTTCTATGTTGAATCCAAACAGATAGACTTTATGCGATGGTCACTGTGGAATCGAGTCCCAGTGGCTGAATGGTATGCGAGCTAACTTACCTTGTAGCTGAAAGGTCCTCGGTTCGAACTCTGCTGGTGGGTGCGTACTACCGATGACTCCTAAACTAGGATGAAACAGCTGTCCAGAAATCCCTGGTTTTCAATGGTTCTCTAACTGATATGAATTCGTGATCAACTCGTATATATATATATATATATATATATA